CCTCTTATATTTAGGTAAAGTCGTTCAATCGTTTACCATCCGAGCTACTGGTCAAAGGCAATTTCTTCAAAATATAAAATCTCCAAAAAACACAGTCACCTTTAACAGTTTATCGTTTTTAAATATTACAACATTCATTATATTATTAAAAACTAGAAAAATACTCGTACAATGTAGCGAGATACATTTTAATTTTAATATTTTATTTTATTTTTTATCTCTGTCGATATTATATGGTTTTAAGAAAACAATAATATTTTTATTTTGGAATAAAATATAAATCTGAAGATATTATAAAACTTTGAAAAAAATTATATTGATATTAGTATCAAATTAACTATTTGAAAAATCTCGTTTTTTGGATAATTTTTTTAATTCAGTTTTTTATTATAGTTTAATTTGTGTTTAATAATGAAGTAATTTATTTTAATTTAATAATATAATTCCGTATAAATATAGTAATTAAGTATTTTGTTAGAAATCAACAATTATCCTAATTATATTTTAAAGTTTCTATAATTTAAAATGAATTGTTTATCTACAGTTAGTTACACGAATTCAAAAATTGAGCTTTAATAAGTTATACTTATATACCATTTACTTGTAGTCTGAATTTTAAGTAATATGCATAAAAAACAGCGTTTAAGAGTTTTTGCCAAATACTTTATAGCATAGTATAGACATTTTAAAAAAAGTTTAATTTCAGAGTTCGTTCTTGGTAAAAATATGTTTTTACTAAATCTCTCTCATGCTAATCATTTTTTAAATTTTAATCAAATTTGAAGAACTCCACACTCTCTTACTGCTTTTTTATTTTAGAGAAAGTTTCAGATAGTTTATTTGAGCAAAAATTTGCTCAAAATCTTCATTTTCTCCATATCAGATAAAAGTTTTTGAACGAAAACTTGCTCAAAATGTCTAAAATTACCATTTTGGGAAATATGTTGGATAAGCTCTTAGTTTACCTTTAAAGAACATCTATAACCCACTTTTCAAAATTTATGTAAAGCTATAAGGGTACTTGCACAATATAACAAGATACATATCGATTTTAATATTTTGTTTTATTTTTTTTCTTTGTCGACATAAAACGGTTTTATTTGGTTTGAAAAGACGATAATGTTTTGTTTTTKAATAAAATATAAAATTAAAAATATCATAAAATTTGAAAAAGAATATATCGATWTTAGTATCAAATTAACTATTTACAAATACTCGTTTTTGTGTAATTTATTTAATACAAATTTTTGTTATAATTTAATTGAGGTTTAATAACAAAGTAATATATTTTTGATTTAATCTATATCATATTGTAAAATATTTCATAAAAACTTTTAAAAACCTTTTTTATGCATCAAATATGGTTTATTGATGCATATTACTTAAACTTCAATTTATTTTACACATTATAATATTAATTATATAATTAAAGTATTATTTTAAACCGTTGAAGATATTTGAACAACTCAACCCAATGCTTGCGGTTTGAAAAATCTTAACACCAACCCAACCCAAACAAAAGTAGAACCCAAGCCAACCCGTACGGGTTGGTCGGGTTGATACTTTGGTACATTAAAATATTATTCTAACCTTAAATATGTTATTCTCTACTCATAATTTTTTTCATCATCAACCATTTGATAGAACTTATCCATACTTCTTACGTATATCACATTCAGTTAATTTTCTCGATTTACGTATATATGTTTACAATTACTGAACATATATTCGAATGAGTTATATAGAGACGTGAATAGAATGAAAAGATGCGTATATGAATAGCGTATGTGATAGTGTAATTGTCTAGTGTACATATTAATAGAAATTCAACAATCATATTAAATCCAAGAAATAAATGGATATTAGGTTCATCGGGTTTGGTGAGTTCAAATAATAGTAATCCAATATCAACCAAATACCTACAATTTGAAAATTTTACAACTCGATTAGACATCGAGTTGCTTCGTGTTGAGTTATTTCGCGTTGGGTTAGGTTGGTTGGGTTGATCGAGTTTTTAAGCACCCCTAATTCTGACCACTTAATCATTTTACATCAAATCATTCAACAGCTGTCAAACAACCCCAAGACATGTTATGGGTTCAATCCTACGCCCTCTTTGTAATTGACTAGTCGTTGAGTGAGTCAAAAAATACCCTCTTATAAAATTGATTACTTTTTACTTAAATATTTTTAAAGAAATTATAAATAATTTATTAAGATGAGAATTGATATTTAAAAATAAGGAAAATTGAGAAGTCAATTTTAAACCGGGAAAATGAAAATAATTGTAAGAACAGAAGCTTCTTTACAAAATTGTAGGCGATCATCTCCATCAGGGTAAAAATCACAATTTATGGATGATAACGCTTTATTGACTTGTACATTACGTTTTAATACTTGTAATCTTATCTATGTTTATGAATATTAGCTATGGAAAAGGAAAGTAGCCTTTTGGAGCCTTTTGTTTTCGTATACAAGACGCGCTACCTTTCAGCGCGTGGAACAGACACTTATCGTATAATAAGACCAACCTCACCCCACTTCACTCGCAACCCAACCCTCCCTCCCCTATATCTTCTCTCTGGTTCCCTCCCCTTATCTCTCTCTCTCTCTCTCTCTCTCTCTCACACACACACACTCTGAGACACACACTGTTGAAACCTTTCTCTTCGTTCTCCATCAAGATCTACCAGTGATTTTCTCTATCTAGATATCTTTCTCTCTCTAGCATTTTTTTTTTTACATTTGTTTTTGATCTTCGCTCCATTTCAGGATCTGCATTGCCGTACTTGAGACTTGAGAGTTGTGTTTTCGTTTGAATTTGACGATGGTGTGTTTACAATTGAGGAATGGAGTTGACGCAGGGTTTTGTCGGTGGAAATTAGTTCAACTACGGATAAACCCTAGCCTGGAGTTCAGTGTAGCATTGTTTATTCAAGTATTGGCGTTCTGATAATGGTGTTTGTGAATTCGCTATCAAAATGCTGGCTATTTTGATGCTGTTGTTTATTTCCCATCTTGTTGCTCTCAATTCTACAGCTGTTACTTACGGTAAGGAACGTTTAGGCTTATTCATATATTTCTTTAACTATTTTAGGGTTTTTATTCGTACATAATATGGCTAGGGAAAATGGGTGTTAATTGATAATGCATATGTAAAAACTGGCGACATGATACAGTAATCTGTGTGTACTAACAGTTGATTGATGACCTAGGAGTGAAAATTATGGTTTACCTGCTGTCCTATGATGCTTGTTATTGTTGTATCTATGTCGAAGCTGTTTAATATAAGAGTATACACTCTTTTCTAGCATCTGAAAAAGCTACAGTTTGAATTTTATGTTAAACCTATTATTTTTCAATTGCTAAACTTGTATGAACGGGTTAGCCATGTATCCTGTATGTAGTTGTTATGAAATACCATTTAGTTAGCACATATCACATTGATATTGGAGTTTAAACTCTAAATTTAATTTACGAGGTCTTTTGCTATATTTATGGTTAAACTACATTTATGGTTAAACTTGAATGCAGACTAATTGTGAGTTAAGATTATGCTATATATTGAATTCGCCGCACTAATTGTCAGTAGCTTCAAGCGTCTTGTATAGAAGTATTTTATTCTGTGTAGCACTGCTAAAATATTGGAGGTTTCAAGCCTTGCCATTTCTACATGGTGATGTTACTGTGACAGTGCATAAGAACTATCTTTGGTTTGGCAGTTAAAAAGTTACCTTAAAACTGTTTAGTATTTTGACAATCTGTGGTACTAATAATAGTTACGTTCTTAAACCTCAAGCCTGCTCCTGCTTATTAATGTATGTATCGAATTACCTCACCCATGATGATCGTGGTATTGGTGCGGTGGGGGCGACTTAGAGGGTGGCATCTACCCTTTTTTGTTAATGTATGCTTGATGCACATTACCATTTATAAGTGGTTGTCCAACATCCAATTTGTATCTTAACTTTGAGTACCAGTTACCTCTGATTGTCTCATATTATTAAACACTTCAATGCCCAAAAAAAGTTCTTAGACATTTTACGAAGGTATACCAAGCATTTATTGAACAAAAATCCCCTGAATAATGCATGCTGCTTGTAAGCATGGAAACGGAAAATTGTGAGTATGTGACGATTCTCATTAACCTCATCAACATCTACCCAAGTAGAGAGCTCTGGAAAAGGTCAAAGACTACTATGAACTTATCAACAAAATAATACACCAGGATACATGTCAATTTAGGGGCAAAATCAAGGTTCTATTTGCATAGTCAGGGGTTTATCATTTTCACTTTGATTTTTCAAGACATCCGGGGATTGTTAGTCAAGCAAGACATAAATTTATATCATGATGGAGAATAGCAACTTTGTTAATAACCTCCTTTTACTGGTTTTGAGTACTCAACAGAAAGGGTTGATGCGTCTGTTATTTTGTCGAGGTTGAAGTCTCAACTGAGCTTACTTAATGAAAGCATGGGCATTCTATGGTGAAATATGAATTGATATTTTTTTAAAAGCTCACAATGGCTCTTCACTTGTATGTCTTTGAGCTTCTTGACTTGCTCTTTTTGTGAAATTGTAGTTAGACGATTATAACAATAATGGTGCTCGTCTATTTATATAATCTTATTCGATAAGAGGTTTACCAACTTTCTTTCCTGGGATTCCTTCCCTGCACATTAAGTTTTCTCCTCCAAGGCCAACCATTGTCGGTGACAAAAATGATTTCTTACATGATGAAGGTATGAATTTGATACCTCTCCCAAAAACAAATATTTTTTTTCTATGATAGGACCGTGGGATGGCTATCCTTACTCTTTGTTTTGTTTGTAACCCTTCGACATTTTTCATATAGTTAAATTGCTCTATAAATGCATGTTTTACGCAAAATCACCTATTGCAAAACATTTACCATGCTATGCACAAATTGATGGCTGTATGGACTTTGTTGAAGTTTAAGGTGAAAAAGGAAGTTTGCATTGATATCTGGTGTAAGAAAGTAAGCTCGGCGAACTGTAATATGCTTTTTGTGGTAATATTTTGGGTATTTATTTCTTCCCATTATGGCTCCGAGGTATACTATGATGTTGAGAATGTACGGTTCACTAATCTGAAACAAAATTTGACAAGTAAATACACCTATGCTTACCAAAAGATAGTTGATTTGAATCACATTGGCCAATACGATAGTATATCAACTACTTTGTTAAGCAAGGTAGTCTACCTGCTACAATTGCCAACCCATAAACCCTTTAAGCAAGCTTATGCGGTGGGTATGTCAACCATCGTCTTAATTTATCTAGTCCAGATAGCAAACATCTAATGGGCCTTAGATCAGCATGGCACCTGTRGGGGAAATTCCAGTAATGTAATATTCACATGAGGAGCTAACTGTCGGCAAATTAAGATTAAAAGAATCAACTAAAATAGCCCACTAGATAAAGAACAAGAAACAGAATGGTTAAATCTGATGCACAAGCTCATGTGTTTCCTGCATTTCTCTTGAAGCATTTGCAAACTGACTCTGCTTAACTTTTGGGAGTAATGACGTTACGTTATAAACGTTGCTGGTTCAGTAACTTCCTTTTGTAGATGATTCGTAGTTTGAAGTCATTTTGCTGTTTTAAGAAACAAACTTATGTATATTTCCTTTTGGACGTGTGACCAACAGCAGCCTGCTTGTCTCCATCATCCACAATTGCGTGGACTTGAATCATCAATCATGCATTCATTTTCTTCTGGACAGGACAATAACCATTGGATACTTGGGCTTGAGTATATTTTGTCCATGCAACAGCTCATGAGTCATAAATACCACAGTGCATCTCCACATCCTGATAATTTGATACGTTCGCACATTACCTAAAAGTCAACAAGTTTTTGTTTATAAATTTGTATAAGCTAAACATTTAATAAGATGCTTGTTCCATGCTCAAGGCTGCAAAGACGTGTTCCGTAATATTTTATTAAACGATCAATGGTAAAATATACTGCCATTTCTACTCCATGTTATATTATTGACGATTTAGCTTGCTTGGAATGTCATGGTGCTTTATGGTAGGTTACTTTGTCGCGTACCTTTGTTTGCATTTGATGTTTAGTTGCACATCAACCTGAACCTTTTTTGAGCATACAACCACATTGTAACTTGAAAGGTTTTGGAGCTCAATGCTTTAGCATTTTCTCATCAAGATTAGGTCTGTTCATCGATTGATATCCATTGGAAGTGAGGGGAACCGAACCGATCCAATCATCCATTGGATGTTGGATTTTGCCAACCGATCCAATCCGATTAACAATGGATGACTGATCCAATCCAATAGATGTTTGGATCGGTTTGGTTCCATCCATTGGATATTTTTATTGAACATCCATCGGATATCCAATGGATGATCCGATGGGATCGGATATATCCCGTGTGTTAATTCAATCCAATTCTCTAACAATGATACAACTTAATTAATCACTTTTAATGTGTTAAAACCAACACAAGGGAAGTTAAAAATTCAAAGCCTCACATAAAACAAATTCCGATTTAAGCAATTTAAAAATAAATCAATTGGATGATAGTTGGATGGACAACTGGATGGTCATCAGATGATTAATTGGATGTTGATCGGTTCGGTTCGGTTTTAGAATGCCATCCGAGAACCGACCGATCCAAATTGGATGTTGAAATTTTCAATCCGATTTGATCCAATTACAAGTGGATATCCAATTATGGTCGGTCGGTTCTAATTGGATCAATCGGTTCCAATTGAATCGGTTGATTTTCTGCACATCCCTAATCAAGATTTGTGTTCAGGTCCTGTTGCTGGTCCTACTGATAGTGGCTTGCCGCGACATCACCACCACCATCATCGTCGTCATCCTCATAGGATGAGAGCTCGTGCTGCCTCCCCATCTCCATCCTCTGAACCAGGTATACGAGTATCTTTTCTTCCCCTTTCTCATTTATAACTTATTACTTATTAGAATAAGACTATTATGCAAAAATGAAGAGCAAAACTCTCACATCATAGGTAATTAAGATCGTATCTTTGGTTTTGTTTTCGGGGTTATTTATTCTTAGTTTCTTACTTCTAGATATCCTGTGTGCAGCTCCTTGTTTTAATGCATCTTTGATGGTTTTACAAGGATGCCTGCTTCTTCTTCATATCCCACTAATATTCAATTGAAGGTCTAAGTTTTTGCACTTCTGAAATACCTGGCTGAACAAATATCTGTCTCTGTTAATTAGCATGGGCAATAATAGTCTATTTTATAGCTAGTAGCCTATAGTCGATTATGGAAACCATGCCTTCGAGTTGAATATCAAAATTTATAGTCTTCAAGTTCCATATTTGAAGAAACAGATTATATAACACATGAATGGTATACCCTAATGTCAGGGTGCCGAACTTTCTATGTTAAATGCAATTCTGAATGTATTTTGACCAACAAACATTCTCGAGAATCAACATGTCAGATCTTCATGGACATCTTACCAAAAAAAGATCTGCATGGACATGAAAAGATCAATTAGGTATTATTGTGGTATTTGTTGGGCGGAAGATAGTTGTCCTGTCACTGAAAGAGTAGATAAAAGGCAAAGGGCTTTTTCATAGAATGACATCATCCTGAAGCAACATAGACTTGTTGGAAAGGCTTAGGTTCCTCAATAAAATGTGCGTAGGTCCAAGTGGGTGCATGAAAAATAAATGCGGGATGCTTATAATGTGCTAGTTACAGCCCCTTAAATATAAGTCAACAATACTTATGTTAGATACCATGGTTGCAAAATAATTCCTTGAACAATTTGAACCGAAAGAGATGCAGCTTGAGACACCCCACATCTGTTGAAAAGCTTTGATCAGCATTATATACCTACAATTATCTTGCACCGATTTTGTTTAATTTTCAATGTTCACATTTGGTTTTATAACATCATTTCATTGTATTATCTGGCAGGCTGTGGTCAAACCTGTTTGGAACCACTCACTCTAACTCCTATCGGTTCACCTTGTGGTTGTGTTTTTCCAATGAAAGTTCGACTTCTTTTACAAGTATCCGTGTTTGCTGTTTTCCCTGTTGTGAATGAGCTAGAGATTGAGATTGCATCAGGCACGTATCTAACACAAAGTCAAGTGGTTATAACGGGTGCCAGTGCTGATGATCAAAATCAGGAAAGAACAGCCGTTGATATAAACTTGGTACCGTTGGGTGAGAGATTTGATAACGTGACTGCTGCACTCACTTATGAGAGATTTTGGCGGAAGAAACTCTCTTTGAATAGAACCCTTTTTGGAGATTATGAAGTGGTATATATTATATATCCAGGTAAAGTTGCAAACTCTTTTACCTTTTTTTCGTTATTATTTAAACATGTGGTTTCTAAATATGAGATCTTACAATCAGGCCTTCCTTCTTCACAACTATATGGAAATCACTCTGGGAGTGAACCAAGTGGAAGTCCTGGGACACAGGAATTCCCTATACGTGCACATTTCGTTGGCAAAAATCAGAAGCTGGACCATAAAACCATTTTTGTAATTGCTTTGTCAGCAGCAGTACTCTTGATTGTTTGCTGTGCTGCAGTTTCTGTTATCATGAAGTACAGAAAGATCTGTAGTTCATCAAATCCCGCTGGCCCTGTTTTTACGTCGTCAACTAACAAGAAATGGGGTAAGTTTGTAAACCAACCTTCTTAGATGTCAAGGGTTCAATTAACAAGAGATTTGGTTATAATGGGAGYGTTTGGTACGTGGACAGGATTCAATGGGCGAGAGTGAGGTAGACGGGTGAAAGAATTGTGGAAGGTTTTAAGTACTTTTAAGGTTTTAATTTGGCATGGGTAGTTTAGTAATTTGGCAAATTTGTCTCCTCTACCTGATTTTTGTTCCACCTATTTTGGCTGGACAGAAAAAAGATGCACTTTTGTCTCCCTCGGTCCTGTTTAGTGCAGTCTAATTGTCACACCAGATGTGGGATAACCAAGTTTTTGTTCAGTCTTGTCCTATGTTGTCCCGTGTACCAGACGCCTATGAATTTCAAGCTGATAGGTAATCTTCTTTAAACACCACATTTTAATTGCTATAGTTTGTGCTGCAGGACTAGGAGCAATGTTATCAAGTGATCCAACAAGTTCCTTGTCGGTATCTATATTTTCCACCATGCCTACTTCTTTTCTTTCCATCAAGACCTTCACCCTAGCTGAGCTGGACAAAGCAACCGAGAAATTCAGCTCAAGAAGAGTCTTGGGTGAAGGAGGTTTTGGGTGCGTATATCATGGGATCATGGAAGATGGAGCGGAAGTTGCTGTGAAATTGCTTAATAGAGATAGCAACCATAATGGTGACCGTGAGTTCATTGCAGAAGTCGAAATGTTAAGCCGGTTGCATCACCGTAACCTTGTGAAACTGATTGGCATATGTATTGAAGGGCACACACGCTGCTTAGTCTATGAGCTTGTTCCAAATGGCAGCGTTGAATCTCATTTGCACGGTATGCTATTTCTCTCATTGCATTTTTTTTTCTTTTTCCAATGGCTAGTATCAAAGTGAATTGAAAGCTATTCAATATTGCACCACACTGTCCCGGGCCATTTAATTTTAATTCTACAAGGAGCTGTGCAATTATACCTTTTGAAACTTGAATAACATGAATATAGCCGGGATTCTCTGAAATAGCGATAGAGGTCAGACTTACAAATGCCGAGACAGCTTACAGCAGAATCCTCATCATCATAAACCTGTGTCTGTTCTTCTTGGCTTCCTTCGTCCAATCAATAACCACGCTCAAATAAGAAACTCATTGACACTGACCGGTGCCCATATCATTCAACCTCGACTCCATCTCAAATACTCAAGTGGATAGTGCATCCACGCGGGAAGCCAAATCCCGAATCGACCCTATGATCTCATCCACCCATGATGGACGGTCAGAGGTCAGCGTCAATGGCTTTCTTATTTGGTTGGACGAATGAAGTCGAGAAGAACAGACACTGGTTTATGATGATGGGGTACTGTTTCCATTCCAGTGTCATGCAATGACTTGGTTGATTTAATTTTACGTTGTTTGCAATTATCGTCTTTAGTGAACTGCAGATATTCAATGTTCAATTTTGGTTGCAAAGTCTTTTACTACAAGTTGTCTCAACATTTGTGAGTCCTCCCAAGACCCCACCTTTGAGTGGGATATACCAGGCTCGTTGGTTTGGTTTGGTTATATACTTCGTTGTTTTCTACACAATAGAATGGTGTCAAACTTTGTCCACGTGTTGGTGTTTCAGGTGCGGATAAGCAAAAAGGACCTCTTGACTGGGATGCACGGTTAAAGATTGCTCTTGGTGCGGCAAGAGGGTTGGCTTATCTTCATGAAGATTCTAACCCTCGTGTGATTCACCGTGATTTTAAGGCCAGCAATGTTTTGCTAGAAGACGACTTTACCCCCAAGGTATCAGACTTTGGGTTGGCAAGGGAGGCTACAGAAGGCAGTCGGCATATTTCTACGCGAGTCATGGGAACTTTCGGGTATATTTTCTCTCAAATTTACTGGTAGATCAATTTATGGGTACACAAACTATCACGAATTATGATATCCTTTTAAGTAGCAAATAGCCGAATTTGGGGGCTGTTTAGTACCTGCTTAGCGCCTCTTACCGGTTCCTAGGTCGAAGAATGCTGATGTTTATCAAGCCCCTCTTTACGGGTCCATGATGCTGACCGAGAGGCTTACCTGGTAAGCTAAGGGATGGACTCTTACTTGGTCAATGATTAGTGTTGACCGAGAACGGGTTCTTACGCGATTAGTGTAATGTGATGCCAAACATGGGACCACAAATATTTCTAGTGTTTTATTCTGTCCCGCCTACCAAACACACCCAAAGATGACCTGACTTTTTTCTTGTCTTGTCTATGCCCTAGTCACGGGTTCACGGCTAACCGTTTCTTTTTCCATTCTATGATTTGAAAATCGGGAAATTTACATAATAGCCAAAGTAGTTTCACTTTTTAGCAATTTTCTGACCCAAATTCACTTTTTCGTCATTTTCTTACCCAAATTCACTTTTTAGCCAATCTTTGCGCAGAAGGCTTAAGCTTTTTGCATAAAGATTGGTTTTCGTAAAAAAAAAAAAAACAGAATCCTTATGCAAAAACCTTACATATATGTGCAAGGTTTCCGAATCCATATGCACATTTGTTAGTTTTCTACGTAAGGATTCTACTATATACCATATTATAATGGGATCCTTACACAAAAATCTTACGGATATGCACAAGGTTTCTGAAGCTGAAAGTCAATCCTTACGCATATGAGTAAGCCTTCTAAGGATTCTTTTTTACCGAAACCAATCCTTAAGAATTCGCGTAAGCCTTCTTCGTCAAGATCGGCTAAAAAGCGAATCCGGGTAAGAAAATGGCTAAAAGGTGAAACCATATTTGCTGATTGGCTATTTCTGTCAATTTCTTTTCAGACTCGATTCATTTCGACTTCCGTTTACAAATTATTTAATCTGGATTCACAGTTATGTCGCTCCCGAGTACGCCATGACAGGCCATCTACTAGTCAAAAGCGATGTCTATAGTTACGGGGTTGTGCTGCTAGAGCTTCTATCCGGTCGAAAACCGGTGGACATGTCTCAACCTCCCGGTGAAGAAAACCTCGTGACRTGGGCYCGCCCACTTYTCAYRASCMSMRAAGGYCTGCASCASTTRGYSGAYCCMACKTTRKYCGGRAYGTACGACTTYGATGACATGGCWAARGTGGCTGCRATMGCTTCCATGTGTGTGCAYCCWGAGGTRRCYCAAMGACCTTTCATGGGTGAAGTGGTCCAAGCCTTAAAACTCATATACAACGACAAAGACGATACTACAACTCAACGAGACTCGTCCGCCGTGGAATCGGACTTTAAAGGAGATCACGATCGTGCACCTTCCGATAGCAGCTGGTGGAACGGCGTCGGAGGTGCCGCACATTCCATTTACGGTAATGCTTCTTTCTCCCTTCGTCTCAAAACTCCCCATCCACCAATCATATGCCCACAAATAAACACTTTATTTAAGAGAGAATAAAATAATAAATTAAATAAATATATGTGATGTGTTTTGTGTTACCATTGGCATGATCAATTACATTTTGTTTTAGGTATATTTATTATGACTAATAGAACAAATAAACTCGTATATTCTTTTCATTTGTGAGGTTTGAGCCATTGACTCATGTACTATTAGGTTAAAGGCCCTTTGGTATCACCGACAAATTTAGAGGCTACAGTRGCATATCCAAAATTAAGTTTGAGTTTTATATGTGATGTGTTTTTCGTTCTTATGATTTAAAACTTATTGTTATTTTAGTCCTTCATATTTAAAGGTAGGAGTTAGTTTCAGGGACGAAAATAGTAACGTATTGCAAACCACATGGATAAAAACCGGCAATTTCAAAACCAGAGGGACAAAATCCACAACTTTTGTCAAACCATAGGGACGAAAAAACTAATTTACTCCAAATTATATTTTTATATGTCGGTAATAATTTTGTGCTACTACTAAAAAAACATTCTGGATCCGCCTCTGTTTCAGGTTCAAGTTTCGATGCAACGGTGGGGGGGTCGATGAACGTGGGGTTAAGCAATAGGTCGGGCCCACTTAGAACGGTTCGGAGTAAACCGGAATTTTATAGATTAAAAGGGAGTATGAGTGAACATGATAGAGATAGACTTCAATGGAAGCCTTTTTGGAGTGAAGGTTCTTTGTAGTACCAGTAGTTGTTTCATTCAGAAATGTACAAATGTTCGCAACTCTGCTTTTTGTTTTTTTAGAGAGGTTCCCTCATGGGGAAGAAAGGGACCAAAATGAAAATGTGGAGTTTTGGGGAGTAAATTATATTTTAGGTCCCTGAACCATATATCTATTGACATATTTTGGTTTTAGGCAAAGATATGGATTTTATTGGAAATTTTATAATTTTTATGTGTAGTTAAGAAAATTTAGGTGGGGTGGCATTTGCCATTTGGTGGGTATGTGTTTTAAAAATTAGAGGACGAGGTTCTTTATCAAATACTTATCCGGTAAGTGTTTATCGGTAAAATTTAACACTATTGTTTACTTATTGGGTAAGATTTTAGTCTATCAAAACGACATTATATGCAACAATTTATCCGGTAAGCGTTTACTGTGGTAAGAGTTGTCGCCCTCACTTACCGGATAAGACTCTTGGTCTTTGTCTCGTTCCTACCGGGTAAGATTCTTGGTTCTTACCACATATTCATCCAGTGAGGAAATGTGACTTGGTTAGTGCTTATTCAGGTAAGCGTTTGATAAACAACCCATAAGTTACGTTTTTTTGTTCTTATGGTTTACAATTTATTGTTGTTTTCGTCCTTCATGTTCAATGATAAATTCCCAATTGAATTTGACTCCTTTCCGGAGTAATCGGGTTAACGGCAGCGATATTTTAGAGAAAACAGTGACAAAAGTTGCAAATAATAAGGATAAAAGCTATAATTTCAAAGCATAAGGACTAATGTTGTAATTGTTGATAAAGTATAGGGTCGAAAATCATAGTTTACTCTAGGCAAGGGAATGGGGGTAAAGACCCACCTTGTTCTATTCTGCTGTGTTTGGTGCGCTAGACAGGATGAGACATGACAGGACATAATATAATTTGTCTTATGTTTGGTGTGGCTTAATGTGGAACTAAATAGAACTAAGTAGGACAAGGCACCCTTACCCCCCTAGAACTAAGTGGAACTCAATTTTTTTACCCCACTACCCTTACCACTGTATCCGCTCCAATGCTTCCTTCACATCAAGACCTAACCCCTTTCTTCCCCACACCCTTTCCTCGTATCCACCTCCATCGCTTCCTTCACATCAACCGACGACGACTTCTACTCAATCGGCGACTTCTAAATCGGCGATTTCTACCTAAATCGGCGAGTTCTCCTCTCTCCATACTCAGGTACACGATTGCTTCATCTCGATTTTGTTGCTAATCGGCTGTTTGCTTGAACCGGAAATTGATTGCTTGAACCAATTTCTTGTTTGCTTGAACCCTAAATTGGCCTTTTCTTAGTTTGAGGAACCCAAACACACCCTCTAAATTGACATGTCCTGTCCCGTCCTGTCTGCGCACCAAACACACCCTTCATGCTGATAATATGATGGCATTAAATTAAATTTTAATATGATAATAATGATTCTGTTTAAATCTTATATATTTATAAAATTATATTTTTATATAGTATTTAATATTCATATATAAATAAAATTACATCGTACTTGTTTGATCAAATGCTTTTATTTTAGCTTTTCATATTTTTTTTATCTAAAAAGTAAGTCAAGTCAAAAGAATGTATGTAAGAAAAAAATGTCAAAATATTATTACTAGATTTAAGAGATATTAAATCTATTTAATAATAAACTAGAAGGGTACTCGTGTAATGCATCGAGACACATTTTTATTTCAATGTTTCGTTTTATTTTTTATCCATTTCGATATAATACGATTTTATGTAGTTTTGAGAAAGCGATAATGTTTTTATTTTTGAATAAAATATAAATTTGAAAATATCATATAAAATTTGCAAAAAATATATCAAATTATCTAATTAAAAGTTCATGTTTGTTTATTTTTTTTAATTCAAWTTTTTTATTATAATTTAATTTAATGTAACGAAGTAACTTAACTTAAGTTTAATAATATTTTTTTTATAAATATAATAATTAAGTATTATAATAGAACTCAATAATTATCCTAATTATATTTTAGATTTTTTATATTTTAAAATGAGATATTTATTCCCTAGATGATTATGTTTATTCGCAGTTAGTTACACGAATTCAAACATAGAACTTTAATAAGTTGTAATTATGCACAATTTACTTGTAATCTTAAATTTTAAGTAATATGCATTATTAAACAGTACTTTATGCATAGAAAAATGTTTTTAAGAGTTTTTGTCAAATGTTTTATAATATAGTATAGATATATAATATATATCTATCTATACTATCATATTAAGCAAATTTAGTAAAATTGTTAAAAGTCTTAAAATACTAAATGATCAAGATACCCTTTATACTACTTTTTCACCCCCTCCTCTCCTCGCTACTTTTCACTTTTTACACTTTATACCCCTATAATTAGTTAATTAATTTACTTTACGTCATTTACTTTTAAATGTTTCATTTTAAACCTTTATCAAATTAATATACATAATTGTATATCAATTAAAACATGTTTAAAAAATACATTTTTATTTTAACAAGYTACACCATTATAATTGTCTCGTTAATACCTTCGAAATGAGTCTAATATTGAATAGTTTTTGACTTAATTATATTATTATATATTATATATAGTATGAAAAAATATTTTTAATATTTACGATTTATACTTTTATAGTTATTTATTTATATATATACTATATATTATGGGGTTAGACTGTCCAAATTACATTGTATAATATGTTCTGAATTAATATGCTCTTTGGTTTTTTTGAAATATATATATATATATATATATATATACATATAATATATTTAATTCAACCTTAAGCAGTTCAAATTTCATTTTAAAACTCATATTTTTTGGTCTTTTCATGTCTTATGATCTGTTAAATTTGTAATTTTCTTTATTGGTTTTGAGTGTTTATCTTAAAACTTAAGTTTCTTGGTTCTTTGCTCTTGGTGTAAATCAAACACATTTGTGAAGTCGTTTAAATATGTTGGATTTTAAATATATTGGATTTTAAACTGTCATACAATTTTTTTCATCGATAGTATATAATTGGAACCATAACTCTTATTTATTCAAATTGTATTAATATGTAAAGACCAAGTGTAACCTATATCATCGTTAAATCTTATCTTATAAAACCAGTGGAACTTCAAAATCGTTAAAATTCATGGCTCCCGCCGCATTGCGCTGGTACACAACTAGTTTAATATACAAAGACGAGGTAGGTCGGGGATCACGTTACCTAACCCATCTTCATCCCTGGTTTTTAACTTTTGGAGTTCCCTGTCACCATCGTTAGTCCCTAATTTTACAGGAAATTTCCAACTCTGTTGAGACAGGTACGCTAAATTTCCAAATGAGACGGTGCCGTTTGATGCCTAGTTTGCTCTTTAAAACAAATTGATATTGATATTATACTGAAAAGAAATGATAGAAAGGGACAAAAAAGTTAGAACCACGCAAGTTTTAGTAGGTTAATTGTCTATTTATCGACTATTGGGTAAAATTTGAGTATACCAAAATGACATTGTATCGTATGTAACAATTTATTCGGTAAGTKWTAATCATGGTAATAGTCGTCACTATCACTTACTGAGGAAGACTTTCGGTTTTTTACCGGGTATATCTAAGGCGTATGACTTGATCCGATTCTGTGAATGAAAATAGTATTACCCAAATTTTTATTGGAAGGGAGTAGGTAACAGGAGATGTGACTCACTCGGCTCGCCCTTCACATCCAAATCCTTAATCAGGCAAACTCGGTTACTGCGCCATTCTTTGCCACGCGCCACCGCACAGGGCTGACAATGACAGCCATATCCTCTATTGCCACCATGTTCCCGACCTCCATTTGCTGTTCTTCACGATCCGCATCGTCAATTCACTGCTCCACTACCTCCAGGTGTCTTTCTTCACTCGCTCATCGCATTATTCACCTTTATTCCGGTATATAAACTCATCGGAGCGATATTCAGGGTAAACATGTCGTCAACGTCGACTCCGCCTGAAACTCCAATCGTGGTACGTATTTCTATGCGTTTCCTTTCCATGATTGATGTAGTTGTGATTGGGAATGGATTCTAATGGTGTTAACAACGCAGCTTGGAGTTGGTGGTGTGGCCGTGGATCTATTGGCGACTGTGGCTTCTTATCCTAACCCTGACGACAAGATCAGAAGCACCAGCATGAAGGTAAAAATCTAGGTGATCTATTTGTTTTATTTGGAGATTCATACTGGTAGAGTGGTAGTTAAAGTTTGATTGATACTCCATTTGTTTAATTTGGAGATTCATACCGGTAGTAAAACTCTATTGATGCTACAGTTAATTTATGAATCAAATCACTACAAGTTTGTTCGAGTTCGACTACTGAAACTTTTATAATAGGAATTCAAAATTTGTGATTTGAGTGTTACTTTTATTTTGTACTTGTGATTGATTCAATTCCTCTAACGTTCAGTTACGGTTCTATTGGACGTCTGTGGTTCATTGGCAAAAATATGTTCAAGTAGATTATACCTTTAAATTGTGAAGTTGTATATGCCTAGCCACGTGTAAGTGATGTGTGAAATCTTTGCCTACGGTTATGCAATGGCTAGCTGATATTTTAATGAACTCAAATGGCTRTTGCAAGAACTTTATAGTTTAAACTCGTCTGTAATCACTAAAGTTCAACGGTCTCTATGCAACCGTACTGTTTTTTCTTCTGTAATTGAGATTTAAGTTTTCCTTGAGTGCTTCATATTCTGCTTCATGTTTTTGTTGTTGGAACAGTCAAAATAGTTGTGAACTATTTACTCTCTGAATCAAAGAAATGACCGTTGTGGGGGTGTCAAATAAGTTAAGGAACTCTTGTCCATCATGTTTGCACTCCATTTCAACTATGTCTATCTTTATCACTAAAGGTCTCGAATTTAGAAGTTGCTTTTGGCTTAAAAATTAGCATCATCATTCACTCAAGTTTTCTCTTAGGTTCAAGGAGGTGGCAATGCAGGAAATGCTCTAACTTGTGCAGCTCGTCTGGGATTAAATGCCAGGCTGATATCCAAGGTATGCAAATATGCACATTAAATATGCGGGAGACTTCACACTAGAACTAGTTATGTGTTTTAAGTTGTGATTTGGTTGCTAGTTGTAAGTTCCTGTTACAAACTGATGCAGCGTATGATATTGAACCAAAGACTAATCTCATTGATTCTGTGAATACCCAAACATTATCTCTTCTAACGCTCGTAGATTCAACGAATATCGAACCTTAGTCTTCAAACTCGAATTCGCTGATAACTCAAAATTTGGATGGAAAAATTAAAGTTTCTGTATTGATCGAATGACCATCCATGTGACACCTTGAACATGTAAATAAGGAGTTGAAAAGGAAATGGGCTTGAAAAGTTGATGGGCCTACCAGAAAATCCCAAACTGAAAATGGAAAAATAGCAAAAAAAACACAAAAGGTCCCAAAAACATGTTTAAATGACGTTTTTAGGCCTCAAAAACATCGTAGGCCCCTTCAGGTCCTACCCAGGGTGTGCTCCTCGTTCCAAGCTTCAAATCAGCATATAGGGGCCTGAAATAGAATCCACAGCAAAAGTTATGCACTTGTTAACCAGGTCATGGACCTGCAGGAACAATAGGGCCATGTCCACCAAGCCAAGGCCCGCACCACAAACATAATGAGAAAAGCTGAAAAGGAGAGGGGGGGAGACGAAGATGATGATTGTAAATGCCTAACAAGCAAAAGGGAAAAGGGAGTGGGGAAGGCACGGAGGGGGAGGGGGTGGTAGAGAGAGAGAGAAAGAGAGAGAGCACAAGTCAGAGGTGTCTCTGTTGTGTTTATGTATGTCCAATAGTCCATTCTGTTATTGTATCTATATCCCATTTTCCTCAGAAACAGTTGTCCGCATATGAGCTGGTACTTTTTTTCTTTCTCTCTTTCCTGATCGTTTTAGACTATCTTAACTATTCTGAAGTGTTCCCCATTGCTCAAATTACTTGTCAGGTTGCCAATGACGCTCAAGGGAGAGGAGTATTGGAAGAATTACAAGTTGATGGTGTAGATGTCTCTTTTTTTGTGGTAATGAACATAGCTGTTGAAGAGAATAAAATATACAGGGCAATGTTGTATCATATGATTAGGTTAATACTTTCTAGTCCCTAGTCATATAATTGTTACTCTCACATGATCCCACGTGGATTTGTGTATACAAATAGAATTTATAATGTTAATTTCAATAGATTGTACAAACTTTTGTTATAGTGGTAGGTAGCTTTTTTGGATAATCTTCATTAAAAATATATCAACTTGATCTTTCTTGTTTGCAGGTTTCCGAAGAGGGAAATTCACCATTCACCTATGTCATTGTGGATAATCAAACGTAAGGATACCTAACCTATGTACCGATTCATTTTTTCTCCTCTTGTTACCTCCATGGTATGACCAAGTGACCAACTATTTTCTGCAAATGCTCAATTTGATTAGTTTCCTCAACCATGGAAAATTATATGCTCGATATTTTGTTGAATTCTAAACTTGTCATGACTACATAAGCTGAAAGAACTACTGTATTCTAGTTGGTATGCTGAGATATTGCATTTATAAGTGTTATAAGCCATAACCAAAAAGAACAATTATAGCATTTTTAAGTATTATAAGCCATAACGAAAAAGAACAATTACTGCATTTCTAAGTATTATAAGCCATGACAAAAGAAAACAATCGTCTTTTGTACATATCCTAACACATTTACGACTTATTATTGTCCTTTCCATGTAGTCCCAGTTTGCAACCCATTCATGCTCTAGCAAGATAAAATGGTGGGTTTTCTTCTTAACGATATTCCATTTGGATTCCAATGGAGAAAGGGTTGGGTGGGGGTGGGAGTCATCTTCCTTTATTTTGGTTTTGCTTCTCTGAGACCTGGTTATGCATTCAGTAGTGTAGTGCTTCGTACTGAAAATTTTAACTTCTTGCTGGTTGTAGTGTAAAACTGATCGACGTCAGATCTTTTTCAGCATTTGTAGGAAGTTTGTACCTGAAGCTGCAAACCGAAAATAATTTATTTGTTCTGTTGTTTCCAGGAAAACTCGAACTTGCATTCATACTCCAGGGTCGCCTCCAATGATTCCTAGTGACCTCTCCAGCTTAACTTTGTCATCTGCATTAGATGGGGTGAAGCTTACTTATTTTGATGTACGATTGCATGAAACTGCTTTAGTTGTTGCACATGAGGTAAGTGTTGTGGTTTCAGATCTTATTTCTCTTTTAGCTTGTAGTATTCTTTTATTCTAAGTATACACAGTGAATAAAGACACTTTCATCTGCAACTGTGAGGCATTTTATTTACCGAAATCAGCTGTGTAGTTCATCAGCAGCGGACCCAGGATTTTTACCGAGCGGGAATCTTTAATGGATAAAAGGCCTGCCAAGTCTTCTGATGTGTTTTTAGCAGAATTCCAACTTTTCGAGGGATTTTTCAAGTTTTTGGTTGATTTCGAAAGACTTTTTTGGCTGATTTTGAGGGACTTTTCAGTTTTGTGGTTGATTTCAAGGGACTTTTTCGGTTTTTTGTTGATGTTCCTTGTATTTTCTAATATCCTGGAGCACCCTCAAAGTTTCACGGGTGCACCTTTTATACCCAGTTTTTTTTTTTATTTGTGATAATTGGATGAGCAGGTGCACGGGACCTGCTCAGACCTTCATAGGTCCACCCTTGATTGTTCTTGTGATCAGCTTCCCTATAGACTACTCAAATACCAAAATGGAAATAAATTATCCCTGTTAAATGCTACCAGTGCAGGCAAATCGGAGGAGTATACCTATTTTAATTGATGCTGAAAAACTAAGGGATGGATTGGATGATTTTCTATATTTATCAGACTATGTTGTGTGCTCGGCCAAACTTCCACAGGCAAGCTGCTCCTTTGAAAATTTCTGTTTATAGCTTTCTTCCTTTCCAAAAGTACCTGCCTTTTGGTCAAGACAATTTCTTTTTGAATTAAAATGGTGTCCGGCCCCTGGAAATTCCAATTTCCCATCGGCAACTAATCTGAAGCGTTTGAAGCTTTTCTAATGTTACATATCTGCTCATATTTGAATTGCTAGAATATCAAGATGTGAAATGTTGTTTGTGCTAATATTCTATGAATCCTGCTTTAGGTTTCATCAAACACGCCTTCTACCCCAAAGTATTTTTTAATGTAATTTGGCTTCCCCGTGCATATTTGGAAAACGACTAGATAATGTGTCAGAAGACAAATTTACAGAAGTTTAGTAGGTGGTCTTTGTCAATTATCTCGATATTTATCTTGATATTGATCGAGAAGTCTAGTGGACGGTATTTTTCTTGGTTAAAATGGAGGGGGGAGGTCGGTAAGGGGAGTGTGACAACTGACAAGAAGGTCCCACTAAAGTTGAAGGGCAATTCTTCAGGGTAGCCATAACCTTTGGACCAATTATGTTATATGCCGCGGGTCTTTATGGAAACAACTTCTCTACTCCTAGGGGTAGAGGTGACATAACCAACTCCATGTTGGATTCATTGGGTTTGTTTGGTTCGGTTTTTTAACTGATGCTATATAATCTCAGAGGTGTTTACTGAACTTTGTCTTGTTAATCTACTAGTAATGTTTTATTCTGAGGTCTGTCTGCAAAAAGATAATAAATGTTTAGATCGTACTTCTCTCTCCAATAAAGCGAGCTGGATTCATTGACCAATATTCATGTGGTTGCTTTGCTGCATAATTTCAACAGGCGTGGACTAAAGCTCCAACTGTTCCAAGTGCGCTTGTTTCCATGCTCTTAAGGTTGCCAAAGGTTAAATTTGTCATTGTGACGTTGGGTGCAGATGGATGCATAATGCTCGAGAGAAGTATAGTTGATGCATATAACATTTAGCTTTAATCGCCTTTCAACCCCCAATTCTATCTTCTCTTTTCGAAGTATATAATATAGAGAGAGGGGTCAGTTCAAGTTAGAAAGTTAAATATCATGAGAAGGAAAGAAGAAAAGGTTAAGAAAAAAGTTCATATGTGAATCATTGAAAAAATAAAAAAAATAAATCTATTTGAAGATGCATATGTGAACTAACGATACAGATTATTCATATGGATTCACATATGCGCTTTCGATTGGATTTTTTCAATGATCCATACATGAACCTTCCCTTCTCACAATATTTAGCCTTCTTATTTGAACCTTCCAATATATATATATATATATATATATATATATATATATCAAGNAATGATCCATACATGAACCTTCCCTTCTCACAATATTTAGCCTTCTTATTTGAACCTTCCAATATATATATATATATATATATATATATATATATCAAGGTTCTAAAAAGCGCGTTATGGTGCGCCATAACGTCGAGGCGTGGCCTCGCCGCCACGTTAAAGCGTGTGGCATGACTCTGAGGTGTGGCTTGCAGTATGGAGCGTTACGGCGGGTTATACTCGAGGTGTATTCCTGCGTATTATCCCGTAACTCGTAAGGCTTGAGACTTGACCTCCATACCACGCCTCATGCCATTTAGAACCTTGATATGTGTGTGTGTGTGTGTATAAACACGGCAAATACTCACTCACACTTCTCACCTTTGGTGATGTTTGAACCCTTGACTTTCCGGAGGCTAAGATTTATGGGTAATCCGGATACGGGCCAATGACCCTTTGGTCTCAATTCTATCCTTTTCTTTTAGTATCCGATTCTAAATGGCGACAGCTTCTGATGTTAACTTCAGAGGATGGCCAAGCTGAAGAAATGGATGCAGACAATTTAGTTGAACAATTGAGGCAGAAAATTAATAGCGGCAAAGCTGCTCCTACGTGCATTTCATCGGTAAGCCCCTTTTTGTACGTTAATATGCGGCTGATTTATTTGTTCATAAGACTGCTTGAATAATCCAAAACATTAGCATACCTGCAATCATGAAATAAGCAAGTTTATGGTAATAGATTGGGGATCTTCTATAAGACTCGTAAGCTTGTTGTATACTCCCTCTATCCCAAAATAATTGTTCACAATAAAAAAGGTTTACAGTTTAGGAAATGTGTCATCTTTTTAATTAATTAAATGACAATTTTATCCTTGATAATAAAGGTTAATGAATTTCTTCGTCTCATAATTAAGGGTAGAATTGGAAGCAGCAGTTGCTTTTAAAAGTGGATACTTATTTTGAGACCCACTAAAATAGAAATGTGGACACTTATTTTCAGATAGTGAGAATATGTAAATCATCGTGTCACACTGCCCGTCTCTAAAATGGCATGGGAACAGCTTTCCTCCAAAACTCGTAAAGATCAGACTTTGATTTGGGTATACATCAGTTATTATGTATGTTGTAGGATTTCTGCTTGTTTGGCAAACAAAAGCCAGGTTACTCTTTTGAGTTTATTGAACAAGCCTGTTAGGTAAGCCGTAAGCTAACTTTTTTGAAAAGTTAGTTCGGATAGTTTATTGGATTTTTTATTCAATTTTTTCCAGTTATGCCACTTGTATCTTACATAAACGTCCCTTACTTCTTTTTAGGTCATTTACTAAGTCATCTGGCTATGGACCTCCATCCACCTTCATCTTCACCTTCAATTACTTTCACATACCTTCAAAATGAATGAATTTGAAATTTGTTAATAGTTTCAGTCATGGTGATACTTATGGCGTCCGCCCCCNAAAAAAGGTTCCTGGTCAATAGATCCGCAGGATGAAGGTTTGTGTTTTCGTTAAAAACTGTTCTTACCGCAACCGAACCCTAATAAATCATTTTACACGGATGAAAGTTTACTTTTCTCTTGTAACGATGTTTAGTTAGTGACCCATTTAATCTGAAGACTACTATAGTGACAATTAGGGACGGACCCAGTGTAGTGCATACGGTGGCATGGTCATAGGATCATGAAAAGTGCCACCGTATCAATTTGTGGTGTGTCACCGTATATATTTGAAACTATAATGAGGACATAAGATTCCCTTTGTAGAGTTGTTTTGCAAGGCTTTTCTTCCACCCAATACCCGAGTTCGAGTCCCATTAGTTTCATTTTCTTAGTTTTAAGCTTTTAATTTCAGATTCATTATGTTTTTAAAAAACTTTGCAATAAAAGATCTTAACACAGGACCTCACATATGAAAAGCAATGAACTAACCACCAATGTTGATTTTGTTAAAAATATCCATATATTTGTTTCTTATAGTCAAATGGTGCCACCACTTGACAATAACATTTTGCTTCCACGGAACAGGATGTTACAAGATTGCAGGCCAAGGGAGTCGGAACTGTTTGCGGTAGGTTATTTCTTGGAACGGCCGAGAAAATACCGGAATCAGAACTCGTGGATACCACTGGTGCTGGTGATGCATTTATAGGGGCTATCCTGTATGGTACGTTAATGCCACCTAATTTTTCCGTCACAAATCTTCTTATTCTGCTTTTATTCCCCGAGTACCGCCATACGTTGTCCGTACATTCCCGGAGACTGTCCCTAAATTGAGTGTTGACCACCAAATGACATGAGACATGAAAGGCAATAAGACAATTGATTCTTCTATATGCTGCAATTAGGGGTGTCAAGAAGCCGAATCGAGTTGAGTAACCTATTGTTTGAGCTCGAATAACTTATTCAAATTAGTGATCGAGCTCAAGCTTGGGAAAAAATCCAATGTTCGAGCTCGATGCTCGTTTAAAGAATTTCAGTTAAGACATTATGCCTGAAAGGTTCTAAATGACTTGAGGTGAGGCATTGTGTGGCGGCGAGATCAAGGCTCAAGCCTTACGAGTTACGGCAAGAACGGTGTTTTTTAAAGGCTTGTCGTAAGCCGGCATGTGTTAGTGTATTGACTTTTGAATCATACCGTAAAACTAATTAAATTTATATAAAGTAATAAAACTAGAAAGAAAGAAGAACGATTGATGAAAATGATATCAAGAGTGCAAAATCGAGATTAAATCTCTACTCACTACGGGTATGGGAGTAAGCATTTACCTATTTAAGGTTTTAGTTTCCTTATTATGTTTATTTAAGTCTTAGGTCTCGTACATAATTATATCATTCATCCCTCAAATTATATATTAAAAATAACCACACACCTTACAAAATAAACGCGTTGTAACGTGCCATAATGCGTTACAATGTAAGCCAAGCGTTAGAGTGGAGCCATAAGGGTTAATGTGGCGGCGAACCCAAGCCTTGACGCTATAACGCACCATAATGAGACCATAACAAGTTATTTAGAACTATGGCTGAAATTCAAGCTTTATAAGCTCGTTTATAGGCTCGAACTCAAGAGTAGAATTGTTTATTGGCTGGAGGTCTTATTTTGATTGTATGATTTATGAACACATAAATATGTTTGGCTCAAAAAAGTTTATGCTCTAACAACTCAGCTCAGCTTGAAATATTAATTCAAGCTTTTAAACGAGCCGAGTGAAACACTGGTGTTATGAAGTCTGATTCATTAAGTTAAACAAGTTATGTTTTATGTTCGAGATCGAACCCTAGCATGATTAGCTCGTTATAAGCTCGAATCATTAACACCCTAATACCTTTTTTTTTCCTCGATTGAAAATTGACAAGTGTTTTGTTGTTTGTAGCTATTTGCACCAACAAGCCACCGGAACAGATGTTACCCTTTGCAGCTCAAGTGGTTAGTACAAATATCGTTCTCCCTTATTTTAATCCGAAAACTTTGATCTAATATTAATTAAGAGTTAATTATGGAAATGCCCTCAAGATTAATGGAGGAATTGGATGACCGTTAGAGTAGAGGACTAATTCGTTATAAAACAACATACCACGAGCCCTAATCTGTAATAAATGAAGTTTAGAGACCATTTTCGAAAAAACCATAAACTATAGGGACTAAATCCATAATTAACTCATTTAATTAATTGTTATATTGGTCAAAAGATTCCACCATTATGAATTTAATTACAATGTCGTTTACCAAACTCTTATCCGAGTAAGCGCTTACCAAGTAACATTACGTCACCGGATGAATATGGTAAGGACCAAAAATCTTACTCGGTAAGAGTGAGACAAGAACCAAAAATTTTGCAAGTGAGGGCGACGAATCTTACCACGGTAAGCGCTTACCGAGTAAATTGTTGCATACGATGTCGTTTTGTTGGACTAAAATCTTACCCGGTAAGTAATAATAGTGTTAAATTTTACCGGTAAGCACTTGCCGGGTAAGTGTTTGGTAAACGGCCCCTTAATATCTCGTAGAGAAATTAAGATATTTTGACCAATAGTCAAAATACTTTCACGGATATATTTCTACGCCTCTACGGTTGAAATGTTGTTAGGGCAAAATGCATCAAAACGCAACAAAGTTTGTTTTGGTTCTTATTTATTGTTCTTTTTTTTTCTCGATCAATGTATTATTTATAATATAAATTCTATTTAATCTGACAAAGCTTCAAATTTTTCTATCTTTTACTTATTTCGACCGGTGACGTGTAGATTTTGTAACATTTATCAAGTTTTCGTAACCAGKCATTCACTTCAGTGGCAGATCTAGGATTTTTGTCTAGTGGGGGAACCTTTAAGGTAGATTAAAGGCCCGTAAAGTCACCCCGATGTGTTTTTAGTCTAATTCCATTGTTTTCGAAGGATTTTTGAAGTTCTTTTGTCGAATTTGATGGACTTTTTCGGGGGTTTTGATTGATTTTGAGACTTTTTTGGTTGACTTCAAGGTACTCTTTTTGGTTGGTGGGGGCACAAGTGGAAATTATTGGAGGAATTATGGTAGAAAGCTAAAAAAAATTGTTTTTAAACCTAGGTAAAAGAGGAAAAAAATTAATAGGGCCCATCCTCCCACCTTTTACCTGTTAAATCCGTCCTTGATTCACGTCACTAACTGTTACAGAATCAGCAGATTAACGGTCGAATAGGTACAAAATCTGAAGTTTTGAAACTTTTTGACATTTATTGATAAAAAAAAACTTTTCCGTTATGTTAAGAATTAAACGAAACTTTGTTGCATTTTGTGCACATGGGTTAAAAGGATTTTATTTAAGTTATTTTTTCTCATATTGGGCTTAAATTCTGTGTGTATGATGACAGGCAGCTATTGCATGTCGAGCTTTGGGAGCTCGAACGGGTCTCCCGTGTCTCTCGGATCCTCGATTGACGCCTTTTTTAGGGTAGAGGCCCCTTCCGATTCCAACGGCATTGTTGTTGCTGATCGGGTAGGAAAATCGGGGCCTGGCTTTCGGATTTGGCTTTTCGTTCTTGTTTGCTTCTTTGGATATTTTTGGTTCGATTTTCTTCTACTCGTGCCGTTTTAAGACACCATCTCCAATTTCGATGAAATTAAATTAATAAATGTGGAACATTTAAGATATCTAAATAACTCGAACGAAATAACATGGTAATGTATCAGTATACAATAAGTTTGTTTTAGGGGCCGTTTACTTAAACACTTACCCGGTAAATGTTTGCCAGTAAAATTTAACACTATCACTTAGTTATCGGGTAAGATTTTAATCCACCAAAACGACATCGTATGTAACAATTTACCCGGTAAATGTTAACCGTGGTAAGAGTCGTCGCCATCACTTACTGGGTAAGACTCTTAGTTTTTGCCTTCACTCTTACCGGGTAAGATTCTTGTCTTTGTCATATTCATCCGATAAGGTAATGTGATATGGTAAACACTTACCCGAGTAAGCATTTGGTAATCAGCCCTTTAGTTTCTATTTAGTATAACAAGGATTTTTTAATAGTAAACGAAGTTATGTAATTTCTTTTTTTTACTCGTTTTGACTAATAACTTTTTGATTTTGTAACATCTGACGACGTTGATGTCTTGTTTATCTTCCATTTCTTTGGATATTTTGTAAATGGGTGTTCATGTTATTAAATGTTACAAGATCAACACGTTACCGATCAAAATGGATACAAAATAAGAAATTTTGGCATTGTGTTACATTGAGAGAAAGTGGTACTAATGCAAAATGGCAAGCAATCCATTGATTGGTTTGTTTTCCAACAATAAGGTGGCGTTTGGTTCACGTAGAGAAATCAAAATGGGTATGAAAATGAAAACGACAGCAGATGAATTTTCATTCTTTACAGTTTAACCTGAAATGAAAATTTGGGCTTCTGAAGGAATGGACCCATTATATTATAAAAAACCATTCATTTCCATTAATTACTGCTTAATACATTTTACCAAACACCGTTTAAAGCAAACTCGACTTCAATCCCTTTCCCTTTTTCTGAGGCCACATCGTTGGGGGAAATCAATATAGCCATTGCCCATTGCTTTGACAAGGTTAAACGTTGCTTCATCGTCATGGGCTCATAGTTCTTAAACCTCATTTGCTAACGTGAATCGATGGTGACGCCAAATAAAACCTAGAGAACGAAACATGGACGCGTGCTAATCAACGCTCTTAGTGAATGTTAGCACACTGGTATTTTCTGAAGTTGTAATAATAATTGTCGCTTTGGGGACCGGAGGTGGACCCCTCATGCACCTGCTCAACCGATTCATATATATAGTATGAAAGATACACATGCCAAAGCATTGATGAGTGCTCTATGATAGTATGATGTTTAAAAAATACAAGGGAAATCAACCAAGAACCAAAAAAATTCTCTCGAAATCAACGAAAAAATGAAAAAAAAAATCACCAAATCGACACAGTTGGTTTTTCCATGAGTGATCCCACATTAACTTTTCCATATAATCATATCATGACTTAACAGACCTTTGATATATCTTAAAGATGTGTTCACTCGGCAAAAATTCTGGATCTGCCATGATTGAAAACACATAATAATAATAATAAAATTGTTGGAGCTTAAACAAACCATGCCAATGATTTATATAATTTACTCATTCAAAAGGTAGAATTGTATTCATATCCCCATATTTTTATATGGAGGTATGTAGGGGTTGTTTGTTTACCTCTTAATATTTTTATTAAGAGGCAACCTCTGAATCGTTAAAATGATTCTTGTTTGGCAAAAAAAAATATGTCTCTTAATGGTTCTAAAACCTTCTGGATGATTTTGTATCATGGATCTCCCTTAACCATTAAGAGCTATAATTTCATTGTACACAATTACCAAACAATTATATTTCATTTTGCACTATATCATTAGAGTCTCTTAATCATTCTGACCATTTAATCATTCTGCACCAAACCATTCAACAATTGTCAAACAGCCCCTAAGTGAGATAAGGGTGTAAAAGTAGGTACATTTGAGCAAGAGATATGAACAGCAACTAGAGCTGGCAATGGGTAAGAGTAAACATGTTACTCGCTATGTTTTGACTTTTTGAATAAGGGTTTGGCTAAAGATATTTTTTTTTATCATCTTTCAACTTATCAATTATCCGTATACTCGACATTTTAGCGGGTAGGGTATCAGGGTATGAATAAACGGTTTTTTCGTTATCTATTATCTGTTATGAAATTAATATATATATTTATGTATGTATAATTATATAAAGTTAAATATTCACAAATATATTAAGTTATATATTAATATTTTTATAATTCTATCATATATGTAATTTAACGACTTCATGATTATTAAATAAGAATCAAGATGATGGAAAAGTGTTGTTTTATAATACTTATTTTGTTTTTAAAACATTACACCAAGATTATATTTATAGTAATATTAAAATATTTATCATAAAAAATTATATATAAAATAATTAATATACTTATAAATTTATGTTTTACATATATATGTTTGAGGTTTAACAATATTAATAAATTGAAATAAAATTATGTTTACCTTTTATCCGGTACCCGTTTCATCACCCATTATTCTAATAGGTAAAGATATGGATAATAGGTTTATAATAGAGCTGATTATTTGCAGGTTTGACAGGGTTTAACCTATTTTTTTGTCCAACAAACCTAATATGGTAAAATCAAGCCCGGTTTTCTGGGCTTGAAAATCTACCCATATCCGCCCTATAAACGGATTGAGTTTACCACGGGCTACCAGACTTGAAAATCTTGTTGTATTTTTATGAAAACATAACTTATATAAAATCACAAATTATGTAAAATAATTCAAAATACATGATAATTTTCGAACTTAAAATTTGATGTAAATACATAACAATATACATATTTTAGAAAGAGATTATGTCGTTAAATATGAAGTATCCATAAAGAAAATGACTAAATGAGATAATAAGGAATTGAACAATTGAGATAATTATATTTTCAAATTTAAGATTTTTAAATAATGTTTGTAAGGGTGTCCGGGCCAAAGCCCGACTAATCCCCGACAATTTTGGAGGCTAAACATGGCCCCACTTAAATGTCGCCAACACTCCCCTCCTAGGGCTCGAACTTGGGTTCATGAYTATGCCATGCCCAAACCTTTACCACCAGGAATTGATAAGTTTTAAGAATTTTCAATTTTAATTGTAAATTTTCATTATTATAATAATATTAATGTGTATGACGGGCTTGTCCATATATTTTTTTTCATTGTTCATGTCTGTCCATTAATTTTAACAAGTCAGTCTATGCCCGTCAATTTTTTCTTCGAAAATGGTAATCCAAGCCTCCGCTTTTCTGTCGAACCAGACAAGAGGGTTCTAACAGATTATCCCGCCCATGAACAACTCTAATTTATAAAACAAATAATTACTCGTTATTTTAAATAGATTACATAATGGAATAACTCTTACTTTTACTCATATTAATAGAAATTTAAAAAATTAAATAATTAAAAATATTAATAATTAATTATTTAGGGTGTGACTTGTAAATTAGATTTGCTGGCAGGTCCTCTTTTTACTCGATTTAGCTTCTTTTGGTGGCGGTGCACTTTCTATTTCATGCATTCACGATTGCATTGATGCAATCCCACTCTCACTTTTTCCCACTCGCTCTCATTTTCGCCTCATCACTTCAATCCAACGGTTCAAAATGAGGTGTGATGTCACGGTGTCATGAGGCGCGTATTGGATTCCCTTTTCCTTACGCGCTTTGTTTCCATTGGCTGTCAGATAACTTCCGTGACGCTGTCGTCACTTTATTCGGCGTTTAGTTTCTCTCTTTTTCTTATTTTTTTTAAGAAAAGTATAAAAAAATTCAATAGACATGATTAAGTTTTTGGACCATTTTTTTGAACAAATAAATAATTGGACATTCTAAAACATATTAAATAACTTATAGCATGATTCATTAATGAAGATACATTGTATTAATAGATTGAACTCATACATTTTTATCAATGAATGTATATCATATTCATCGGTGAATAAAAACACTGACTTTATAATAATATATCAAAATTATTCGAAAACAGCCATATAAAAACGCACCCTAAATGTAACATTTACATAATGCATAAAGTGCATTCCTACAATAAGTTAAGATTTGGAAGTACGTACTCTGCCTTGGCATATGTGTATTTTTGTGATTACTGATTTAGATTTAAAAAAAATGATTTAAAGACAGGGAAATTACCCAAAATGACTATTTTATATATAGTACACTAACAAAATGACTAATTTCTAGACTTTTTCCACAAAATGACCACAAAAATCTTCCTTGGAGGGCGGTTTTACTTTATTGGGGGAAATAATACATAATCAGATATGGATGGCACCGCCCTTTATAAGGAGCGGTCGTAGGTGTCTTAAAAACGAGTGAATTTACAGATGAACGAGGTTAAAAATATAAGCTTCAAACCTTAAAATAAAATTACTTTTCTCTCTATATATGTATACACATATGGTTTCTTATAAACTTAATCATTATTAACAAAAATCATACAAAGTATCCATATCATAATAAATAAATTTTCATCATTTATAGAAATAACTAATTGAGATATTTATAGAAATGATAAGAGTTCGCTTGTTATGATGCATGTATTTTTATGGTTTGTACTAATAGTTGCGTTTGTAAACGAATTAACCTCTCTCTTTCTCTCTATGTATATATATATGTGTGTGTGTGTATGTGTGTGTGTATATATATATATATATAACTTAGAGATGCACAAAAAACTCAAGTTTAAAACGTGCAAGCCACGTCTGAAAAGGGCTAGGCCTAATGAGCCCAAAGCTCGGTCTAGGTCAGGACTCTCAAAGCCCATGTGTTTGGAAAAGTCTGCTTACACTCTTTTTCAACCAAAAGCCTTGCCTGAACATCAAAAATCCTGAGCCTTTTTTTCACTTGAGACACGTTAGAAAGATATGGGTCACACTTGAAAAAACCCGCCCCTGGTGCATCTCTAATTTATATATGTATCGTAATCATGCAAATGTGAGAAAAATAAGGTACATTTACACTGTATGAAAATTGTAACATTTCACATGAAGACGAAAATGTGTATCAAAAGTATAAA